ATATATATATATATATATATATATATATATATATATATATATATATGCATACACACACATATGTATATATATATATACATACACACACATGTATAAATAAATAAAATGAGTGCTCTTTATTCAGAAAATCCACGTCATATTTACATTTCAGGAACTGGTTTTTATAGACACCGATTTAATGTTAAATATGAATATTTATATATTTGTCACCTCAGTAATAGTGTTACACACATTAGTAGTTGTAACCAATTAAAATAATACATCGGTTCAGTGCTTACCTATAATAACAAACATTTAAGTAGTAAACTTTTTTTTTATAATGACTTTAAAAGTTACAAATGTTGTATTTGTTGTCTGTTTGTTTTCCAAATATATTAATGTGTGTGAATGACGGTGATTAACTTAAAACACTTTGTAGAACGGTGCTTTATGAATTGACCGGCTGATCTGCCCCATCCAATATGGCGGACGCTCTGACGTGCCCCTCTAGCGGGCCACATATATATACGTAAGCGTTACGTATATATATGTTTTAAGGTAAAGGAGGCAGCCTCGGCGGCGTTTGTGACTGCATAACTACTCTGTTTTAGGAGGCCGTGTTTCACTTAATTCGCTCAGGTCTGTCGTCTCAATTTTTATTTTATTGTTCAACAAACGAAACCAAAGTGTTGAAATGTTTTCGCGACTGTACACGAAGTCAAAGTCAAACCGGGTCACGTTAGAGAACGTCGTAAAAAAAAAAACCTCCGACCGGCCATTAGGTCGAAAGTTAGCCGCCTTCGTGTTCGTGTCTGATAATGTTTAGCTTGTTTAGTTTATTACTAACGTGTCAATGTTAATTTCAGAGCCAAAATTAAAGCATGCTGCTTCGTAAGGTGAGCCAGTCTTCCGCCCTGTGCGGCTCCATTCTCAGGATTCCTCCGGTCCTCCCGGGGTGAGGACTCTCAAAGATTGTGTTTAAATCATTTAACTTAATTTATTTAAAGAATAAAGAAAGACTGAGCTGTTTGTGGTCTTACAGGAGTCAGGCCGGGGCTGTGCTTTCTGTGTCAAACACTCGTCTTTACGCCAGTCAAGCTGCCCAGGTAAGATACTATTTAACCATAATTAAATGTAATGGGTTTAAATCATTACTTTCTGGGTTACAAACTGTGACGTAACACTGACTCCCCCTCCTCCAGCTGTGGAAGTGGGGTAAAGGTGACTGGTCACGTGACTCACTTGACATTACAGTTCTCCAGGTTAAAGTTCACAACAAAACGCTCTGTGAGCTCCCTCTGCTGCAACATGTTAAATAAATTAATCCAAAAGGTTTTAATGTAAGATTACACCCATTTGGCTGAGCTGGGTTCGTTTGGACAACACAAAACCCCTGAAAAATGTCCTTAAGATTAAATTGTAAAGACTATTTCAGGCCATTGATGTTAAAAATAATAAATGTGTAATAATTTATGTTCAAACACTAATAACCAGTAATACAGTTCTAATTCAAACAAACAAGGTGAGGTTTAAATCTGGTTTCATAATGAAACATCTTATTTGTTCTTATTTTTACGTTCCGACA